ACAACTCCTTCAATGAATTTTCCCCATCCACCTGAAGGTATTTTTTTTATTTCTTACATTTTATTTATATTTACCTTAACAATAGAAACATAATTTACAATAATTTCATTTTTGATATAGGAAAATATTATTTGGTGGATGCTGGATATCCAACACCAGATGGATATCTCGGCCCATACAGACGGGAGCGTTACCATCTGCCCGATTTCCAAAGGACATCTGTGTTTCAAAATGACAATGAGGTCTTTAATTATTTCCATTCAAGTTTAAGGCGTATAGTTGAAAGAACTTTCAAAGTTTGAAAAAATAAGTTCGCAATCTTACGAAACATGCCATCCTATGAGTATGAAACACAAGTTAAAATCGTTTGTGCAACAATGGCTATACATAATTTTATTAGAATGACATCTATTACTGATCCTGGATTCATTCAGTTGGAAGAAGAAGATACTTATGCAAAAGAAGATGATGATGGGGTCGGATTTTCACGTATACATTCATCAATTCAATCTTCATCTTACATGGCTCAAGTTCGTGACAGCATAAGAGACGAACTTGTTAATTCATTACAAAGACAAAGATAGTAGTCATTTCTTATTTGTATTCTTTTATCATAGATTGTACTATGTAGTTTAAAAAAACCTATTACAAATGCTCTGTATCGATGCATCATCTTAATTATTATGACACTTCTTTATTTATATTCCTTTTATTAACATTATACCTTATATTCTCACGCCAATTAACATTATACCTTATAGTAAAAATATTTTTACTATTATGTTTTATGAATATATATATATACATGTGGTGACAATTAATTAATTAATGATATTAAATATCGGAGGTAGTATGTTATTACAAAAACTAGTTGTGAAAAAATGTTATGGGATTTCATGTTTAAATCTTTGAAAAAAAATTATTACTTTTCTGTTAGCAAAAAAAAATCATTTTTTCTATAAAAGTTTTTAATATTATGTTTTATAATATATATACACACATATTAATTATTTATTAATTATATTATCTTATAAATTATTAATTATGTGAGTAAAAATTATTTCATTAACAATTTTATTTCTTCAAATCAAAATATATTATAAAAATATCCCTTATATAATTAGTATATTAACTTATACCCTTTTTGGTAATTTCCATATGTAAAAAGTGCTTTTGACAATAACTATCCAAACACCCTCACTTTTCAGAATCACTTTTTCACAAAATCTATTCTTCACAAATCTATTTTTTTCCAGAATCTATTTTTCAAAAGCTATTTTTCAAACCATGGTTTGGTTTCATCCAAACACCCCTTATGTAATTGGGCCATTTAGCGCAAGCTTCAACCCGTTGTTTCTAATCCCGTCCTTCACTCAAGTTTCCTGAAATCAACAAGTTAATCCAGAAATTAATCCAAAATGTTTTGTATGGACTTATATTACCCCTTCCAGTTCAAAATATAAACTAAATTTTATCCATTTACACTAATCAAGAAGCTAGTTAAAATCAGTTTTAAACAATAAATATAAAAGGCATGCATTTTTTTTTCCAAATATGCCCTTATTAATGAAGAGAATAAGTAAAAGATATGATAAATGAATCAAAAAGGAAAGAGAATATATGGGGTAAAATTGAAAAAAAAATTCATTGAATACTTAGACAATAATGAATGTTATCTTATAAAAAAATTAAGCCTTTCTAACAAAATTTAGCTTATATTTTAAACCAAAAGGAGTATCTATTAGCTTTTTTTGAATGCTTAGACAATAGTGAATGTTATCTTATAAAAAAAATTAAGCCTTTCTAACAAAATTTAGCTTATATTTTAAACCAAAAGGAGTATCTATTAGCTTTTTTTGACCTATAAAGTAATTTCTCTAAAAATTTCGGATCAAAACCCAACTCTTAATTTTTTTTGAATTTTTCAAAAAAATAGCCTTTAATTTCAGAAATTAATCCTCAACTCATTTTAAGGATTTTATATCTCAATTAGCATTTTTGCCTCATAAAATAATTATTCTAAAATTTTCAACTCATTTTCCCTGAATTTTCTAGAAAAATAAGCCGTTTTTTGCTCTGAACAATAATTTTAAAATTATTCAACACGCTTTTTGGAAATAGACTATTTCATAAAATTTCTAAGTCCTCAAAACTCATATTCCACAGTTTCTCCCATTTTTATTTAGGCTCTAAATAATTTTTTAAAAAAATTCTGCTTTTTCTCAATTAGAAAATTGTGTTGCATAGATGGGAATGGTTTTCTCACTTTCCAGTCTGAACGCACCAATATATCTAGTAAACAGAACCCGTTGGGCTCTATTAGCCTGTGTAATTGCCAAAATAGTCAAGAAAAGGAGACGTAAGAATGAGCAGAGGACCCATTTCCTTCCTTCCTTCCTTGCCCTGCCCTCACGACTCCTTCCAATTAATTGTATCATACTATCTTTATTTTTTCAATAATAAACGAGATAACTAATTTAAATATTAAAAAAATTAGTTAAATTAGTTATTTATGATAAATTGATATTGTTTTCTTTAAAATATTCATTCGATCCTAAATATAAAACCTTTTTTATAGTTTAATTTACACTACAAAAAGAGTCTTATATTTAGAATCGAAGAAGTATCTTTATTAATCATGTGAATTTAGATTATCTATTGATAGAAATTCCTTAACAGCATATATAATTCATAAGAATTACTTAAGTAGAAAATGAATAAATATTGGATATAAGGTGAATTAAAGTATAATATTTAAGACCAAATCAAATTCAACTCACACTTATATTGTAACAGAAAAAAAAAAAACTAACGGACCGAATGTAGCATGAAATAGAAGCAAAGACATAAATGCTGATATTTACCAAAGACTTGGAAAAATGAATGGGAAATTAAGGAAATATTACTTCCATTGCCAACTTATTTGTCACAAGCTTGAAGATATTGTTTCCGTGCTCCTTCCTGCATGACTGCAACTTGCATCACCAAAGTCAAGTCAACCTGACGTGAAGACTCCATGCTTCCCTTAATATGCTACAATTTTTACATTTTGTTCTCATGTAATGACTTTTCTCTTCTGAAAAGTAACTGATATTTATCTAACCTACAAATATGTGTCTATGTTACTAATTTTTTAAAAAAATTAAAAATGATCCACAAAAATGAGCTTTTGAATTTTAGAAAGTTAAATTATTCAATTTATTTTATAAAAATGATCAAAATCTTTTGAAAAAAGATTGGCCAAACTTATTAAGCAAATAGGGGACCTGTTAAGAACAAAGGAGATGTTGAGTGGATCTTATATTTAGAACCGGAGGAGTATTATAATAATTATGAATATATATTACAGCATATTCCCTTTTTATTATAATTTAGAATATACATAATCCCGTATTCATCTAAACACAAAAGAAAGCACTACGCGTTACGATTTACAATTATATGAATTGCATCAGCATGAATATGGATATAACTAGTACAAAATAAAATTACATTTCGGTATTTCTCGAAAACCAATTCCATTACCAAGGCATAATCCTCATAAGCATAAAAAAAAAATGCCAAGCCAGTAAAATGATTATTGTACCAAAACCTTGCAAAGGTTACAAATAAAGTGAAATATCTTGTAATCTGGATTGATATAAGCTTTGTCAATAAGGGAGTAGGAAGAGCCTTAAATGACTCATACTCTCTTTGATTTCTAGTGACTATTATATAAATTTGCACCAAATCAGTGTCTGCTAAGTCTGGAACTTGAGAAGGTTCTTTTGATATCTCCTCAGCACTGGCAGCATGATTTCTCTCCCTGGAATGATTCTGCTTTCAAGTATGAACTTGTGTGCCATCAATTGAGCAACGAGTTGAGATTGTTGATTCCTGTTACCGAACCAATTTGAACAATCATAACACGCATCTTGGTCTTCTGTCATGAACTATTGCCATTAATCATATAATTTCTCTTCCTCTTTCGGGCATAATGATGATGATGACGGTTCTGAAATTTAGAAAGTTATTCATGAAATTTTTTATATTTTTTTAAAAACATGGCTCATCTTTTAAAGTGAAGATTACAAAAGCTAGTTGATTTGACCCAATTGAAATAAAAATTTTTGATATCTTCCCCCATAGACTTGAAAATTGACTTCCATGGTTTATATGGTTATTAAAGCTATATGATTATTTCAAGCCATACTGCAGAGATTATAAAATAAACTAGATTAACTATGTACTATATAGCGATGCTAATCTAGATGGATATCTTTTGAGCAGTCAATTACTAAATTTCTGACTAATTAAGTATTGATTACAAGTTAATCAAATGGGATGCAGTGAAGTAAATTAACTATTTTAAACTAGGATGAGCTGGTCTACTTTTTATGGTTTCCCAATTTTATGAATGAAATGGATTATGGAATGAGTGATAGGAGACTTCTTTGACGAATAACTTAGCTAATTTTTCTAGTTCCCCTTTCAATTACCTAACTAAGCAATTTAACTAGCGAAGACAGTTATCCCTAGCCAACACCAGTAACTCCCTAAATTCACATAGACACCTATATTCCTGTACTTTATTATGGATGCTGCTGAGCTCATATTAGACTCCCACCCAATGCTAGGAGGATCTCTCCATTCTTAATCAAACCTAGACACCTGACCATTTAATCAAGAGCTTGAGAACATGGAGAGTTAATCAAAATAGCAAAGAAAGTGCCACAAATCAATCAACAATCCACAGAATACAACATCTAATTTGAGTATCAATCTTCAGACTACACATACCAACGATAATCCTCAACTATATGCACCAATTACAATCATAGACACCTAGAGACTATAATCAATAAACATAGAGATTGGAAACTGAAACTAGATAGGAGTATCTGTCCATTCTTAATCAGACCTAGACACCTGGCCATTTAATCAAGAGCTTGAGGAACTCAGATTGGCTCCTCCATCATCAAGGAATCGAAGGACTAACGGCTCATGGACGGACACACATTTCACCGAGGTTCACAGGGCTCTCGATCATGGCTCTCAGCAAGTGACGACGGAATTGCAACTGAAGGACGAGAGGAGATCGATGGTGGAATTGAGAGGACCGAGACGGTGGTCGATGAAGATGGAGATGGTGGATATGGAGAAGATGACAACCGGAGGTGGAGGATCGAGAGAAATGGGCAAACAAAACATAGATGAGAGTTAGGAGAATCTGAACATGTGCAACCTCGAATCGAATATGGGAACCTCAGCAAAACGTAGCGTTCTATCTCGTCTAATCCTTCATCGTCATTTTGCTGGATTGGTCTCTTCTGTAATTTCTCTGGATCTCAAGTGCAATAGGTTATGGTCCTTGTTGCCATTTTTGTGTATTTATCTCCAATTCACATAACTTGCATCTAGGGTCACCTACACGCACAATCAACTCGAAGGGATTAAATATCTTAACATAGAAAATCACGCAGACAACAAACAAGCACATGAAACCTCGAAAATAACTTCACTACCCTTTGTGCATACTTACCATTAATTATGCCCCAATTAACTAATAATTAGTGCTAAAAAACCTAAAATTATACATGTAAATGTATAAAAATATTGAGGTCTATTAGTCATATTTGAGCATTCTTGTATCAAGCTCCATCCACACTCTCCGCTACATTTAATTTCCAGGCGCCTCAGCCTGGCTTAAAAGTTATTAAAACATAAGATTCATAAATAAAAGGAGGGGGGTTGCAACGTATTGATACTAGCATTTTCCTTTTTTCAAGAACTAATATCATATAAATATCATACTAAAGTATTGTTCCAATCCTAATTATAATAACTTATTTCTAATTATTTTATCAGAATATAAAACATATAGTTAAATCATTAAAGGAATTTTAAAATGAAATGACATTTGAAGTCTACTATTATTTATAGGCTAAAACATACTTTTAATCCTTTAATTTTATACAAAATTTTTAAAAAGTATATTTTTAATCTTTTAACCCTAATTGTTAGTCTCAAATAAAGAATTTTTTTACTAATAATCATAGTTATTTTGAAAATAACTATGAATGATGCACACATGGCGACATGGTATAAAGAAGGTGGTGAGGTAGTGGTACATTGCAGCCGTGACACATGACAGCAAATGACGATTGCCATGTGGTATTTTAAATTTACAAAATAAAAATATTTAGTGATGATAATTCGTCACTAATTTTGATAGCAACAGAAATTTTATCACTAATTTGTTGTTTTTTTGTGGTTAATGTATATGCTTTAGCTTTATTTATAAGTATATTTTTAATTAAAAATATTAAAGTTGTAAATAAAGATAATTTAAAATTTTAATAAATACTTCAGTTTTTGGTCCAAAATGGTTAATATATGGAAATTCTTTTTTTTTTATTGTAGAGTATGGATAATACATGAAACCAGATCAGGCAATATATTAGTGGCGTTTAGGTGGAACTTACCGAGCCTTGAACCTGAACCTTGGCCAGGGAGCATTATGGAACCATACCTCGTGAATGCAGTGGACCTGTAAAATGCTGTATGCATACATGGGGGGCCAGGCATACGAAGATCCTGCACAGTTTGTTGCAACCCCAGTCATCATAACAACATAATCAAATCACAAAAATAACTAAGCTGCTGCTACATTATTTAGTTACCATTAATTGAAGTTACATGCCACCATCTACGTAACTACTATGTCCTGATTGTTTTTCATTTTATGATAACAGACCAAGTTAACTTCTCGTCGTTGCTCCATTTTCCCCACACATTCACTCAATTTACAGAAATTAAAGAGTAAGTTTACAATCATTTGTTTTCGTCTTCCGCCAATACTTTAATTTTACTTTTAATCTCATATGTGCGCGGGTGTTGATAATGGCTTCATTTCGGCGAATCAATTGAACATTGAAAGAGCCCTAAATTTCAATAACTAAGGACTGGAAAAGTAGGCAGGCAGAAAATTATTATTTGTGTGTACACACACACACACACACTCCCTCCATCTCTGGGCTCTTGCTGCCATCTATAAAAGAAAACTATCTAGCCTAAAAATGTTAAAAAGATAGTTAAGCAGATTGGTTAATATTTGAAAATTGATCATATTTTCTCACTTATATCCTTAATTAATGCTCATCTTTTTCGTCTTTCCAACTTTCTAAATATGAAAGGCTGCTTGTTTAATTTACTCCTTTATAAGTAGAAGCCTCTTGCTCACTTAGCTTTAATAATCCTTTACAAGAATCCATCCATCCCTTTTCTCTCCTACATCAAAATATACCCCTACCTAGTTAATACTTATCTTCCTTTCGTAAATGAAAAGGCTTAATTTTCACTTTGGTAAAAAAAACATTTACTAATTAATACATCTCACTAAATATTAGGAAAAATTGTTAAAGGGGATTTGACAAGTTAGTTACAAATAACTAATTGCACAAATTTTCTTAATACTAATGGTAACTATATTTAGGCATGAAAGAGCGTGTATATAATGTGGGGCAAATGTTTACAAAATACTAGGGATAGAGGGGGTAGCTTGAAATAAAAATGAAAATAATAAGTAAAACCGAAGTGACTTACTTGGTACAGGTGGTCCCATTTTGGAAGGCGACTTCGGCTCATTATTGAGCTACCGCTGTTTTCAAAATCACTTTTGCGTATGACACGCCATCCACACTTCATTGAAACTTTCGCATTATTACGGCCCGCATTAAGATAAAAGGGAATCTGACTATGCTTCCTTGAGTACACCATAGCACAGAATTCCTTTGTATATTTCCAAAACGCGAGCCAACGGTGACAAGACTTTCTTTTCTTCTCACCATCACAATCAAATGCCCTTATCTTCTTGCGATTTTCGGGATTTTTACCAAAATCAACAATCCACCACAAGAAAGCTGATTCTCTGGTGTCGGGTTCAGTGGAATTATAAAACTTACTTTCTAACAGAATGCATAATCCAATTCCCAACATTTCTTCCCAAGAAGGTATGTCTACAATCAATAAAGCTCTACCATCTTCATCCGGACAAAGATCAATTTGATTCTCAAACCATGATGGTATTTCACGTCCAGGAATAGTCACCGAAAGAGTTTCATCCATCCAAGGCGTTGTTTTCACCTCCCACTGTTTCCAATGAATATACATGTATAATTAAAATCAAAATAAATACATAGAGTTCTATAATGATATGTGGATATTTCTACATACTTGGTCCATTGAAGCAAAGAGATGTGATAATTGTTCACCTCCCACTGTTTCCAACGAAGCACATTCTTCTGCTTCCAGGAAACATAAACTTGGCGGAGGCTGCGGCAACGACTGAAGTTCTGAGCAAGAATTTAAATCCAGACGTTTCAATTTCAAAAGATTAGATATGCAGCCAGCAGGTAGACTCTTAAAATTGTTTCCACTCAGATCTAATCTCTCCAATGATGATAAGCCCCTCCAGTCATCCGGAACGGATGCATCATCAATCCTGCAGTAGCTTAAATCCAATTCTATCAATGATTTAATACTCAGTATTGAAGAAGGCAATGTTAAGCCGTTATGAACTGAATGCCTCCAAGGAAGAATCATGCTCCAAGAGTATGACATTGACCTTTTGCACCAACGAAATGACAATTTCTTGAGTTTCTCTAAACCACCAATGGAAGGAGGTATCTCTGTTATATCGGTTTCACTTGCGTCGAGCTCCTCTAAGCCTTCAATTTCATTCAACCTTTCTGGCAATCTAGCAAACTTTGAGCAGCCAGATATATCAATAACTACAAGACGTTTCAAATTGTGAATGCTTTGAGGAAGGCAAACAAGATTTTTACAGCCCCTTAATTTCAAAGTCTTAAGACCAATCAATAAGCCAAGTGACTCAGGAAGTTTGACTAAATTTGTCTCCCCAGCATCAAGTGTTTCTAGATTTTTCATACTTTCTCCAAACTCTGGGAGAAATTTTACTTGAAGACATCCAGAAAGAACAAATTCTTTCAGAGCAGTCATTTCCAATTTTTTTGGACAACAAGCTCTAAGAGTTTTGCAACCTTTTAAGTTCAACGCTTGGAGCTTTTTGAGTTGTGCAATTGAAGTATGAAGGTCAACAAGATCTTCACAACCTTCAAGTTCCAATCTTTCTAGGTTTGGAAGTTCAGAAAAATCAGGACTTTCAATCAAGTTTTTGGAATAACTCAAGTCCAAAAACTTCAAATTCTTTGAGCACTGGTCAAACAAATATATGAGAGTCATTGAAAGTTGTGCTAACCAGTATAATCAATTACACTATCTATAACATCAAAGAATAAGGCATCTTACCAAGCTTTTATTCCAAAATTTCTTTAATTTGCTATCACGCATTCTAAGATCAACAAGTTTGGCAAGATGAGTTCCGAAAGGAAGAGTATCTAAAGGATATTTTGTCCAATGAAGTACTTTCAAAGCATGAGGAAGACATTTAAGGCCATGAGGGAGGTAAAAATTACTTGATACCATGAGTAACCTGAGGTTACCCAATGCTGAAAAGGCTTCAGAATCCCAACATGCCTCACAAGATGTGGATGAAACCATAGCTTGTATTTCTTTTGTGCCCTGATAAACAACAATAGCCACCAAGAAAAGGACATCAAAATTAATTGGTAAGAAACTAATTAATGAGATATAAATTTAAAAATAAGAGATAATATCAACACTTACCAAATTGTTTTCCATAACTTCATCAATATCTTCCTTGGACCACAATCTACTACGACTTCCGATCTCATTAGAAGATTTATCTATAATAATTTTCTTACCCATTTGTTCTAGCAAATCATGTATCACTAAATGATTGTCATAATCGTTTAGCATAGACTTCTCATGAAGAGTTGTTATTCCAATTTTTGCATTAAAACCACAACTTTCCAATATTTGTGTTATTACCTTTTTGCTCCAGCCATTAAAGAAGCAAGCAATATCTAAAAGTATTGTCTTTTCTATAGAGGTTAACGCATTAAAACTCATTTCAAGTGGCATAAAAATATCTTTATGTGGATCTTTCTTCAACATATCCAAAGCATCTTCCCATTCTGGCACACTTCTTCTTCCACAAAAGAAAGAACCCAAAACAGAGAGAGCTAAAGGAAGGCCTCCTGCATAATCACAAACAGATTTAGACAACTGCAGCAAATTCTCTTGAGGTTCACGTCTTCCAAATGCTTTCTTACAGAAAAGTTCAAGGGATTCATGTGGGTTCATAGTTTTAACCTCATGTTCATGCACTGCATGCGCTCTACGCAATAAGTGCCGATTTTTAGTTGTTATGATCACTCTGCTCCCAGCACCAAACCAATTCGGGCTATTAGCCAAATTTTCTAAGTGGGTTGTATGGCTAACATCATCAAGGATAAGTAAAACTTTTTTGTTGCAACAAAGGTTTTGGATTATTTTCTTCCCTTCATAGGTGTCTTCAATTTCCATGTTTCTAATTTTGAGATGAGAAAGAAGTTTACTTTGTAAGTGAACCTCACCATCTCTTTCTGAAGTTTCCCTAACATTATGAAGAAAGCAACTAATTTCAAATTGGCCACGATATTTCTCCAAAACAGCCCTAGCAATTGTTGTCTTACCCACACCCGGTAAGCCCCATATTCCTACAAAGCGAACATCATTCAAACCTATCTTCAACAGTGGCTCCATTTTCTGCACTTTACTGTCAATTCCAATTAGTTCATCACCATAAGGTGGCAGTCTGGAACGTAATTTGGTCCACAGCTCCTTAACTACCGTGTCAATAACTTCTGCTTCAGGCCTACAGATCACAGGTAAAACATAACTTTTGATTTGTTCTGTAGTTATAATATTTGTCACTTCAATGTCTGCAATTGTTAATATTCTTTTCCCTTTTGGTTTATCTGACACATTGAAGACAATTTTAATAACGGCAGCCAAGACATGCAGTTCCTCTTATTCCATCCTTATATTAAGAGTGCTTTAATTTAGCTGCGAAGATATAGCATTTTAGTTTGACGACAAAAACGTTTTGAATATGTAAAAATAAAAATTAACTAACGATGCAAATTTAGAATATTACAAATGCAAAAGATATTTTCAAAATTTATTAGAATAAATGATATCATCACTAAAATATAATTCGGTGTTACAACGGCAATGTTCGTCTTAATAATTAAATTTTCTTATCTTCAAATAAGAACACATATATACACCCCAAACATATAGCTAGACTGCACCTAGATATATTTTCCATAAACTGATTATCAGTATAAAATATATGTCCCGTAATTTTACCCAATAAGAAATCAACTCACCTATCCTTGCAATCCCAACCAGATAAGTTAGCAACTTTAGTGAGGGAATCTCTCCAATTTCGCATGACCTTATCGTCCCTTTGAAGCATTTGATGCCTAGCAAAAGCTTCAGCAAAAGTTCCTGTTTGATGCCGTACATGAGATGGATCTACACCATAAAATATGGGGAAAACTTGTTGACAAAGATTATCTCTTGAGTAAAGAATATGCTGGAGCTCATTTAAACACCATGAAGAAGAGGCATAATTTTTGGAGAGAACAACAATTGCAAAATTAGATTCCTCAATTGCTTGGAGTAGTTCTTTTGAAATGACTTCTCCTTTCTCAAGTTCTTCATCATCTCTGAAGACTTTGAACCCACTCCTACCTAAAGCATGGTACAAATGATCTGTAAAGCCTTTACGAGTGTCTTCACCCTTAAAACTCAAGAAAATGTGATACTTCCAGGTTCTTTGTGTTGAATTGGAGTAGGAAGATTTTAAGAAAGATGTTTCTTGCTGACTTGCCATCAATGTTTGAACCAACTTATTATAGGGTACAATTTGATGAAGCAGTAATATATTGCGGCCTGCAACAACTAAACCATATCATTATGAGCCCTAAAGTAAAACAAAATATGGGATGATGAGAATACAGAAAAGAGGAAAAATAATGGAAGGTGTAGATGTGGAATATACTGACCTGGGCTTTCGGGTAGAACGGAAGTGTCTAAACTCTAAATGCTTAATATATACAAAGTTCAAGAGTGTACCTGCGATTGGCAGCATGTGATCTTTTCCTTATATTTTATTGTGTTGACTAATAATTAATTATTACCTCATATTTTCAATATAAAAGCTAGTTAGAGATTGGATTTAGTTCTAAATATAAGGCCTTAATCTATTTTATCTTTTATATAAAGAAAAATCTGTCTTATCCCTTATATTTACCATTTTCCTCCAATCTAATTTAACTATTAAAATGGAGAAAAACAGACCCAATAAAGGGTGTTGTTTGGGATGGGTCCCAATTTTACTTTCCTTGCACCTTTCTGCACGACTTGGACCTGCGTTCCCTAAATCAAGTCAACCTGGCGTAAATACTTCGAGTCTTTGCTCACCTAACATGGAGAAAAACACACACGCACGCGTAGAAACCCAACCCAATATCTATATTATGTACACTTGATCTGTTTTCGATCAACATCGTACTGTCACGTGCTTCGTCTACGTACAGATAAGAGCATGCTGTTCTGTTATTCAGTATCTGATAAATACTGGTACATGCTATTGATATAAAAGTTTCATTGAACTCCTCGTTTGCTAAAACAGTACTCCTTTTGATTCTATATATAAACTTTATTTTTGGAGATGGATTTGGTGCAAAATATAAGCTTTATTTTTTAGTTTATCTAAGTATTTATTACTTTATTTTCTATCTTGCCCTTAGTTGACTGAATTTAATACGCTCTCTCTTATTAATATTACTCATATATGTTCTCTTTCATTATTTTTTTGATTTATTGTCTCTTATTTACCCTCTTAATGCATAAGGGAAAATTCGTCAAAAAATATATTTCTGATTTATTTATTATTTTTAACTAATATTAACTGCTGATTCGTTAAACGTGATTCAATTATTTAGAACTTTTATATATAAGACCGGACGGAGTATAGACTATATATGTAACTAAGAAGAAAGAACTACGCATTGAAATGTAAGAACAAAGTCAATGCATAAAGTACATTTGATAACCTCTTGCGAAAGATAATGAAGGTTACAAAGGCAATAGCCAATTAATTAAATAATAGCCATAGCCTAAAAGGCCTGTAGATGTCAGGTTAGGACTAGTCAGCTCATTAGTTGGTGGCTTTCTCTCTCTAATGAGGAGAAATTGAAGAAAAGTCCCCAGGCAAACGAGTTGCCTATATCCAATTTGAACCACTTCATCTTCGCAACGTGACCGCCACCAAAAATTTTGTTGGTTTTATTCGCATGAAGAGTGACTTGTGAAATTAATGAGAGTTTTCAAACTAAAACGCGTGATCTATAGAAGAGGGGGAAAAGATGTACTCCTCCGGTCCTTATTATAAGACCCAATTTGACTTTTTATTTGGTCCTAATTATAAGACCCAATCCATTTTCTCTTTTATATTTATGCATTTTTTTCCAAGATAATCCTTCTAATAATGATAGTTTTAGCTAATATACTTAATTAGCAAGGATATTTAGGAATACAACACTTATTTATTATAAATAACCAACTTAACTTACTTCCTTAATCTCCTCAAATAAGTCAATTGGGTCTTATAATTAGGACCGGAGGAGTATATGGTCTTTGAAATCTGAATCAGCAGCGTTGGATTATAACGTAATTGTATGGAAGAATTTTATAATGTTCGTTTGATTTTTTTTTTTTTTTTTGCCTACCTTTTTGTCGTTTGATGCTTGATAGTTGATATGTAGAAAACATTAAAAGCCTAGATGTTTGTTAGTTGAGTAAAAATAATCATAAATTATAAACTACGATGCAGAGATGGAAAATCCCATTTTGAAATGATAAACAAAGTTAATTGCTTAATGCACAAGGTACGGTAATGGAATTCTTATCTATATACTACCTCCGGGACCGGAGGTAGTATTAGTTTGAACGAGATATTATCAGCCCATTAATATTAGGGGAATAATTACATCAAGGTCCTTATATCAGTACGTCAATTCTCTAATTATATGTGACCATATGTCATATTTTTAAAATATTAACATTTAATAACATTTAATTATAAATGCACATAAAATAAAAAAGGATATATGACCATGTATAATTAGAAAATTTAACGTAATGAATATAAGGAAGTTGACCAAAGTTTTTTTCCTCAACACTACCACTTAAATAATTGTTGTTTAAAATATTATTATTATTCCTTAAAATATTGGTCACCTTTGGGTGGATAGAACAATATTGCTTTTCACAACGAGGTGGTTGAAGTTAACTTGCTTTTAATTGTCGTTTTGGGGTTACTCTAAAAATTAATCGAATTAATGTAACATAGTGTACAATCCGAGTCGTATTCACTTTGAGGGGCCGAAAACGAAATTAAATCCTAGTAAATAAATGCAAGTTATCTAAATTATAAAAAGGGATTTTTGATTTTTGAAAAGCTGCTAATTAAATGCTATGAATCAAATTGAAATTAAAATACTTTTTTTGTTTTTATATAAAAGTAATTAAAATGAATGAAGATTAAAGAAATGAAAATGAGACACACAAATAACACTAATAATAATCAATCCTCCAATTCAACAACGCAGGTAATCATCACTCTAAAAGATGTTGGAGTTAAAAACAATGAATTAAGAATTATAATTAAACTTTTGATCTAACAATCGAACCACCTCGAGTTGCCACAAAATATTTTCCTAAAATCTCAACTTACTAACTGCAACCAGAATAGTAAAATAGGATTAAGGATACTAAAAACCAATGCTTAATTAGAACTCTTAAACCCAAAATAACAGAACTAAAGCTAGCAAGAGACAATATGATCCAAGATTCTAAGTCACCTTAGAAAATCACAATATATTAATTCCAAAATCAATACAAATGTCATAACCATAACATTATAATTGAGATCAAAACTATAAACAGCCCAATGTCAAATACTAAGCAATAATTCAGTCACAATAATCTCTAAATATAATCAGATTAAGCAATACAATTATCCCAACAATCAGAAAAACTATCCTAAGACCTAGGAATTGTTAAACAATTATTGAGTAAGAAATTAAAGCAACTAGAACTCCCCCTTAAAGATCCAAGCTCCTGCCATTATTGTTGAATTGGAGAATCATGAATTAGCCACGGTTTGCCATCAAATTTGCTGCAATCAATGTTCTGTTGTGAGCTTCCATGGAAGAGAAAAAGGAGACGGAACAGTGGTCCTCACTGGTGCTGTGCGCCGGCAAGGAGAAGACGGTGGTGATGGGGGTGAACGGAGAGAATGTCGGACTGTGATTCCGCTCGCTCCTCTGGTGTCTCTGCTCTCGCCCAGCTCTGTTCTGTCTTTTATTTCGCCGTCGCGTGCCTCTCTTCTGATTCCAGACGGAGGAGAAGAATGGCTCAAGGCTAAGCCCCCGTCGCCGCCTCCTCTGTTCCGCTTTTGTTTTATTTCTCTCTGCCGCCCAGCGTCTCAGCTCCTCTGTCCGCCTCGCGTTTTTCCGCCTCCCTCGTTCGTTCCGTTCGTGCCTCGGTCCCCTGTTTCACGCCGCCAATGAAGATGATGAATAATGCTTCCTCCGCGCGTGCGTCTTCGTTCCAGCTGAAGGTGATTATTGGATATTAGGTTGTTAGTGGGGGAGCAAAACGCAACGTTTTGCTCCCCTTTTTTTTTTATTTTTTTTCTTTTTTTTTTCTTTTTAATTTTCATTTTCATTTTTTTAAATCTTTCAAAAACCTACAAACAAAATTCAAGAAAAAGGTAGTATTAATTGTCCTCAAAAATCAATTAGTCACAATTAAACCAAATATGACAATTTTGCCCCTAAAAATTAATAATTCAAAATAAAATATATTAAATCAATTAACAATCAATTAAGGTCAAAAGAGACTAATTAAGTTGACAAAACCCATATAAAAGATATCAAAATATATAAAAATAATTGAGTTTGTCAGTGGTTGGCAAATTTTTAACATATGACGCCTTTATCGCCAAAATAATAAACTGACTAACAAAATATGTATGTTATTTATAAATTGAGCTTTTCTGCAATAACACACACACGATGTAATTTAAACAATGTGTCATAAAAGAAAAAAAAAGTAATTATGCATGTGGTGCTGGTCTTCTCATGCATTATGTAATAAATTTTAAATATATGAAGAGGATATTAAGTCCTAAATATTGATTCTTTATTTTCTTCCCTCATGACTACACCAGTGATCACTTTGACTCGCATCCAAGGGGACTATTAATTTGCAAAAATTTAAAATTTCTGAAAAATCTCTATTTAATTTCCAAATATTAGAGGGCTTTATACACGAGACAGAAAGATCAGATAAATTTTATGCAATTGAACATTGTCTATCTATCAAAAATTGACAAGAGATCGTTGTTATTGACGAGTACAGATAAGGGATGGGTCCCCAGTGTTATTTCCATGCACCTTCCCACACGACTTCGACTTTGTGTCCCCACAATTAATCAAGTCAAGACAAAGTCTCCCTGCAATTTTAACTTGTCTCCTGGGTTTTATATTTTTATTGAAACAGAAAAGTAGGGATGAAAGTAACAAAATCTCACATGTTCATCACCTCAAGTATTGAGAAATTATATGAAAATCACAAGTTCTTATTAAAATACTACCATCTTTTTCAAAAGAGAAAAATAAATGAGAAGATAATTGAAATAATAATATACTCCTCCGGTCCTTAATATAAGACCCATTTAATTAATTTAATTAGATTAAGGAAGTTAGGTAAGTTAGTTAATTATAAGAAAAGTGACACATTTTTCCTAAAACACCACAATCA